TCATGTATATTACCTTCACTGACTTCTGATGTATTCCTACATAAAGAAAATGGAAGTTATGTAATTACTGCTAGTATAACTTAAAACTAAAGTTATTTTTCCATTTTGATTATATTGACTGAGGGGCGCGTGGGTGCCTCAGTTGGTTAAGAGTTCGACTTTGGCTCAGGTCATGATCTCACGGTTCATGGGTTTGAGCCCCACATCGGGCTCTGTGCTGACAGCTAGCTCAGAGCCTGGAGCCTATTTCAGATTCTGTGTCTCCCTCTCTCTCTGACCTTCCCCTGCTTACACTGTCTCTCTCTCTCTCTCTCTCTCTCTCTCTGAAATAAATAAAACATTAAAAAAAATAAAATAAATAAAACATTAAAAAATATATTGACTGAATAATACACAAATGTCATTTTTTTTCTGAGATAGACAGAATCATAATTAAAATATTTTGAGTGAACTTTCCAACTTTCTTTTTTACAAAATTTAATAAAAGAAAATATTCTTAACAATATTTTGATTTATATGAAAATTTTCACCACACAGTAATGTTAAGAATCCATTTCATAAAAATGAAAGTAGTAGTGGGGCATCTGGGTGGCTAGTGGGCTAAGTATCCAACTCTTGATTTCAGCTCATGTTTCACGGGCTGGTGAGATCAAGCCCCACATCAATCTCTGTGCTGACAGCATGGAGCCTGCTTAGGATTCTCTCTCACCCTCTCTCTGCCCCTTGTCAGTTCGAGCACTTGCCCTCTTTCTCTCTTTCTCTCTCCCTCAAATAAATGAACCTAAAAAAATGAAAATAGTATTATAACGTCTTTAAAACAGTATTTTATTTTTTGCACAAGACTTGATGTAGATTTAATAAGCCCCTTTAGGGCCTCTGTCATTCTTGAAAGTCTAAGTCAAAATTAATTGGCAAAATTTAATTTTGATGCTATGTTTTTCCCTCTCACTTTTAGCTATTAGAATGGTCACGAAAATTGGAAACTATTATTGGTAGCTGAAGAACCCTTGGTGGGCCTGTTCTTCCTGTTTCATTAAAAATTACATTTGTGTTTGTTTTAAATAATCATGCGTAATGATTGAATGATTTCCTGATTCACTCTGAGTCCAAGTAAAGAAAGCAGTAGCAAACATAGCAGTCAAAAACATGTTAGGTCATATATTTATAGATTAATTTATATTTAATAACATAATGCCAACTAGTGTGAAACAAGTAACTTGTCATATTAACAAATATTAGATAAAATGATTATAGTGTGAAGGAGAGAAGAAGCCATATTGTTAGATGTAGAAATTTTGCCATAGAGATAACTCATTGAGTTTTGGCACATTTTTCAGCCTTTAAACTTACATGTTTTAAATATGATAGAAAATTGGAATGCCTAGGTGGCTCAGTCAGTTAAGCCTCCAACTTTGGCTCAGGTCATGGTCTCAAGGTTGGTGGGTTTGAGGCCCTCATGGGGCTCTGTGCTGACAGCTCAGAGCCTGGAGCCTGCTTCAGATTCTGGGTCTCTCTCTTTCTGCCCCTCTCTGCCTCCACTGTGACTTCCTCTCTTCCTCAAAAATAAATAAACATTTTAAAAAGTTTAAAAAACAAATACAATAGAAAGTTTATGGCTAGTTATGCCTACCATCTTAATAATTATTCTGAACACATAGTTTATTTTTTTCTTTTTAAGCAAAAAACCCACTTTGATTATTCCATTGACCTCTGAATATCTTAGAAAAGTATATACATTAGTAGCAAACATATTTGGAATGTGTTGTTTCTGTGTAATCTTGCTTTGTGAATCTGAGACAAACCGTAAGAAGGACAGCATTTGGCTACTCGTCTGCAGAAAGTGTCCAGAAGACTTGGAATAAATCTAAAAAATAAGAAGATACTTCTGAAGGAGAAGTTGTAAATGAGATCAATGCACAAAAATAGTGCTAATGATTTCTGTAGCTATTATTTTATTACCATTAATTACATGATACTTTCCAGTGAGTCAGAGGTATTATGGAGGCTATTGTTTCTACTGGGGCCAAACTCACACTGACAAAAGATAAAGTGTACAGGGAGCAAGTTAAAGAAATAGAGATTAGGGAACCACATATATATTTATTTTATTGAATATCAGCTTTAGTAGTAGAATTTTCTAATGTTAATTAAGAATTCTATATCAGAAACAATGCTAAGATTTGTATGCATTATCTTAGTGCATCCCAATAAATGGAAGAGCTGAGATTTGAATCCAGAGAGCATCTGAAGCTGCTGCCTGTGTTCTTATCAATAAGGCAATTGAATTACTTGGGAGACAGAGGAATATGTATATTTTGGATGATTACTTTATAAGCAGATCTTTCAAATGCTTGAGCTATAATCCCTTTTCACTAAACTTCTAAAAAAGGATTCCAACATGTTACTTTTTCCATCATCAGCCTCTTTTGCTCTTCTCTATCTAAAGCCATGGATTCTTCTTCTTTCTTACCTCAAACCCTCCAGTGGGTCCTCATGGCACAGGCAGTCTTTTGAATTTCTTAGCAGGAGCACCTGAGCCCATTCAGGCTTGCAACCAATTGTCCTTGAAGATAAGAAAGACATTCTTCCCGAAACAAAACTTCCTCCTTCCCACTTTCAAGAATGATTAATTGCTCCTATTCTATTTCCTTAAGCACTTTAGCTATAAGCACCTTCAAGATGCTTTTTATAACTTTACATATTTGTCTCCCTCAGGAAACTGTGAGGCCCAAGTGCCTGGATGCCCATAGGGGTTGTAGCTTGAGTCAGTGTATGAGGAGTGTGTTATAAATGTCATTAACCAATGATCACAAGTGTTCATAGGTGTTGAATTTACATTTGCAGAATTGAATAGAGAACTCTCTATCTTTGAGAGCTTCAGTGCTTGGTTAATGTGATAGGAGATGCTAATTCGAATTTTAAAAGAACGAAATAGTGGGGCTCCTGGGTGGCCCTGTTGGTTAAGCCTCCGACCTCAGCTCAGGTCATGATCTCATGGCTTCTGAGTTCAAGCCCCACATGGGGCTTTGTGCTGACAGATCAGAGCCTGGAACCTGCTTCCGATTCTGTGTCCCTCTTTCCCTCTCCCCGTCCCTGCTCATGCGCTCTCTCTCTCTCTCAAGAATAAATTTTTAAACAATTAAAAAAATTTAAAAGAGCAAAATAGTTAAGCTGCCAAGAAAACATAAAATCTTAAATGAAGTTTATTTTAAGATTTAATGGCAACATAGGAGAAGGAAAAATATCAACAGTTTTCTGACTATTAATGACACTGATTATTTTATGTTGCAATTTTATATTACAAGGAAAATTAAGACCTCTTGAATAAACCATAAAATTAGCAAGGCTTCCAGAAATTCTGCCCTATTTATCTACACTTTTTGTGCCAATGTTACCAATTAAATAAGTAATGTAGAAGTTGAAATATTTACAACATAAATAAAGGATTTGCTAATTTTTATTTTACAGAACAGATTGTCATTATGCTTATGATAAAGTCCAAAATTCATGACCTTCCAGTGACCCATCTCTTGTCTCAGCAATGGCTCTCAACCTCTCTCTCACCTGCTCTCTGGATTTCTGGGATGAACTCGAAGCTCTTGCATCAGGCCTCTGCGCACACCAATGCTTCTGTAGGCAAAAGTTCTCTTCTTGTCCATCTACCGTCAGTCTTCCACTGATCTTTCAGCCATTGCTTAAAATTTACACCCTAGAGGACATTTTCCTGATTTGCCAATCCAATTTGGTGTGAGCTACATTCTTATTCTCCATTAATGGCACTTATAATAATTGACTTAATATTTGTCTTTGTGACTCCACTAGATAGACATTGTAGGCTCTGAATGATTAAAAAAAATACCTTACAATTACTTATCACTGGACTATATTTTTGACAATACTATGCTTTCATTTTTTTACTTTAAGATAGTATAAGAAAATGAGTAAATACAAAGAGAATATAACTTTCTTTAAGTTTCTGAGTATCTCCTGACAGCAGTTATCAAAGTTAAATTCTTAAATCAGAAGTAACTGCCATTCATTCACTCTCCTCTAATATTTTAAGCATCCAAATAGGAAAAACAGAAAATTGAATTTATTGATAAAATAGTTATTATTTTGAAAACACTTTTCAGAGCAGGGAATTCCTTCTAACATTCTCGAGTGTTTAATGATACGTTTATAGAGCTCTGTATGAGAAATGGTGAAATACCCCAGTGCTTACGCTTTGACCATTTTCTGTACACTCCACATGTAATTCAAGGGCCATATCTGACATACTGTGTGGGATTACCCTATTTATCAATTCTTAGCTGAATTTTACTTTAATACCTCTGAAATTGACATACATGTTGATGTGTGAACACAGTTGAAAACTTCTAACCAAGAAATTGCCATGTCAAAGTCTTCTCGACTCAATACAATAAAGTTACATAAATAAGGCAAATATGTATTTTTTAAAAGCGATACATTTTTTTTAGATAACCTAGACTAAGTTTTTTCATTTCTTGTGTAGATGAATAATTTCATGTGGCTTTAAGGGTTAAAGAAATCAACTCAATAGAAAATATAATGCTTGTTAACCTTTCTAAACTTTGCAAATATACCGATGTGTATTACTTAACTTCATCATCTTGGCAGCTCTGTAAGGAAAAAGAAAAGAAGATTGTGTGTTATCCCTTCATACAGTAAAACCTGAATCTCACGTTTTGAACACTTTAAAAGTTATGTTACTGATAAGCGTAGAAGCCAGAAACCCTCATTTCTGTTTCATGAGTACGCTTCTGTCTTTATACAGAGAAGAAACACATTAGTTATGGACTTGGAGGTGTGCAGTTTAGGCTGTGATGACCATTTTTAATGAAGACTTAGTGGTATTCTAAAATGTAATCCTTATAACCTTGGTGATCCACCACGTGTTAGTCAGCATTGATTCAAGGTATGGCTACGTTAGCAATATGGATTGATGTATGCCAGCCTGTGTAACTCCAGGTTTTCATCAGGACAGTGACCTGCTGGACCGGCGGAAACACTGCTTCACCGTGCAGTCCGAGTCTGGGGAAGACCTCTACTTCTCCGTGGAGTTAGATTCTGACCTCGCCCAGTGGGAACGAGCCTTCCAAACAGCAACCTTTCTGGAAGTGGAACGGATACAGGTGAGAGTATGTGAGATTTTAGGACCTGTGACTCCCAAAAATGACTGGCCCCTAGAGTTCAAATCTCAAATAGAAAATGCTGTACTTTTAATTAATTTTTTACAAAGCCACTGGCTGTTCTCTGATTATGACCACCTTACATGCAGCCTGCATGGCTTCATTCTCTCACAATGCTCTTTCTTTCAAAACAATTTCCTTCATCTGTACCCTTCAAAACCACACAGGAAATTTGCGACATTTTTCAGAGGTCATGTCATCACAAAGATTTTCCTGATTTCCAGCCCGGTCTGCTCATTATTACCACTATTACCACAGTAGTCCTGTTCACACCCGTCCCATAGGTGCACACCAATATCACTCTTGTGTGCCTGTTTTCCTAGGTCTGTTCACACTCTATCTTGTATTGGAGTGATGTATGCTTGTCATTCCCCACACTAACTTATAGGTTGCTTGGGATTATTTTATTCATTTACCCACTGAATACAGTGCCTTTTGTACATTGCAAGTATTCAGAAGGTATTTATTAAGCTTTAGTTCTTAAGTTTGAAGTTATATCTAGATCAAGCTTCATAGAGCCTTCAGCCTCTGCAATTCAAGGGGCCATGGAATAGAAGAGGCTCCCAAATACAGGTTCTATGGCTGAAGTCTGACAGAGACCAATGGAAAATTGAGCAATTGCGATGACCTTGCCCCATGTAAATGGGCTCAAAGAGCCAGGACCTAAATAGACACATGGACACTTCATTTCAAAAATAAATGTATAATGATGATAATGTAACTGACTCACCTGGAATGCTTGCCTATATTAGGAGACTTGGTTGCATATATTTGCAACACATTGAACTGATTTGTAACATATATTAATTTCCTTTATTTCTGACTATAACCTTCAATATTGAACATACTAGTTTCCACCAGTGCAGCAGGACAATCAGGAGAAAAGGATAGGGAGAAGACTCAAAGGTCACTGGTTTAATTGCTCAACTGACCCTTTCTAGCAGCTCTGCTGATCTGCGTATGTCTTAAAATCCTAATGTAACTGAGGAATATTGTTTAAATAACTTAGCTGTATAGAACCTCAATTTAATAAATATTTTAATATCAAAAAAGGAAAGATGAAAAATCTTCTACATTATTTTATTTAAGAATCAACACCCAAGAATATTTTAAGCACAAAAATATGTTGGTTGAATAGGAGTTGACATTTTTGTTATTCATAATGATACTTTTAAGCTTTCCTAATTGTTATTGTCCTAGAATGATAGAATATCACACATCCTAGAATATCACACTTCACTTGGAAACAACTACATGGACATTATCCATTTGATGGTTTTAGGATTTCATTTTAAGTCTCCTGGTGGTTAACAATGAGATAATATTATGTTATTTAATGTAATTTAATACTGTTTTTTTGGTTCTGGGCTTCATATTCTCTAAGGTAATGTCCTCAGCAATGCATTTCTTTGGACCATCTCACAATACCATTTTACCATGCATATAGCAAGTGAAAAGTAAAATATCATTTGCCTTGAAACACCTGGGTGGCTCAGTTGGTTGAGTGTGCAACTTTGGCTCAGGTCATGATTTCATGGTTCATAAGTTCTAGCCCCACATCAGGCTCTGTGTTGACAGCTCAATCCTGCAAGCTTGCTTCTGATTCATCTCTCTCTTTCCCTGCCTCTCTCTCCTGCTCTCTCAAAAATGAATAAACGTTAAAAACATTTAATGCCTTTTTAGCTTTTGTTAGCCCAGAACAGGGCTTTATCCAATGACCCTGGGATCATGACCTGAGGTGAAATCAAGAGTTAGATGCTCACTGACTAAGACACCCAGGCGCCCCTTAAGATAGGACTTTAAATGAAAAAGGATGTGGCTTACAAAACTGATTTTCTTTAATTATTATTACGTATTTTATCCAGCTATAGACATTCAGCTGTCATCCAAAAGCACATATTAAAAATATTTAATGTGTGATGTATCTTCAAATATTGTTTAAAAGTATATAATTGCACAAAAATCTTTCAAAATATTGCAAAGTGTAGTCTTCACTTTTTTCTAACTATAATTCAACTTTCTTTATGAAATAAATGTAGAAATTAAACAGTAAATCAAATATTATATTAAACATATTAATTATAGTCATTGTATAGGTTTATTAAAATATTATAAATTATAGAATTAAACTTCAGTGAGTCTAAATTTATATACCTGTTTCAATTTAATTATTGATAAATTGATTCTCTTTGTAATTTCGAACTTCAGTGAGATAAATTTCAATGTTCTGTACTGAAGGTGTTTTCACCTGATGTACTGTTTTAAATTACAGTAATTGAGAATACCAAACACTTACATCTAAATTAGAGGGAATGAGATATGCTTGAACATTTCTTTTTGAAGAATTTCTTTTAATATGTTTATTTTTGAGAGAGAGAGAAGAAAGACAGAGCATGAGTGAGGGAGTTCAGAGAGATAGGGAGACACAGAATCTGAAGCAGGCTCCAGGCTCTGAGTTGTCGGTACATAGCCCTACGTGGGCCTCGAACTCATGAACAATGTGATCATTGACCTGAACCAAAGTGAGACACTCAACCGACTGATCCACCCAGGTGCCCCAAACATTTCTTATTATTGATAGTAGTTTTAATAAAGTGGTGATGGGGGCGCCTGGGTGGCTTAGTCGGTTAAGCGTCCGACTTTCGCTTAGGTCATGATCTCGCGGTTCGTGGGTTCGAGCCCCGTGTTGGGCTCTGTGCTGACAGCTAGCTCAGAACCTGGAGCCTATTTCAGAGTCTGTGTCTCCCTCTCTCTCTGACCCTCCCCTGCTCACGCTGTCTCTCTCTCTGTCCTAGAAATAAATAAAATAAAAATATTAAAAAAATAATAATAATAAAGTGGTGATGGGTGGATATACTCATGGAAGATGTCCATGCATTAAACAAAATTACACCAAAAAATGAACTTACAAGGCCCATTAAGTTTGTTTTCTGAGCCGGTTTTTGAAAGCGTCTGCTCCAAAGGAACAATTTGGCATAGTTATAACTTTCCTATGCAAATTGGGCTTAAAGTTATGAATATAGATTTTTGGTGAAATCAGCTTGATGTATTTAGCCATCGTTAACATCAGAATGTAATTCATGTAGTGTACTTTTACATAGAGTATTATAAAACAAATATCATGTAAGTATTGGTACTGAAAGTTTGCTTGAGATAAGTTTCCATCTCTCTCTTTTTCCTCTCTTCCTCCTCGTTTGTGAATTATGAGTATTTTTCTTCATTTAAATATCCCAGTACGGTTTGCAATTAAATGCAACTAAAATTGGCCTGCAGGCATAAAAATGCATCATGTGGCATATAAGTTCTAAGTTTTTATTTCATATTTGTTAAGTTAAATTTAAGTATCTTTATTTTATTAGTCTTCCAAAATATTTATATAAGTAAAATTATAATTTAATCTGATCTCTGGGTTAAAAGTTTCTATTGATTTGTGAAGAATAAGTAGTTGTATACAAATAAGAAACAAGGGGTAAATGCCTTTGGGAAATACCTTGCATCACATGGATGAACATTATATGAGAGACTCTTAAGGTAAAGATGTTCTTACACTTTTTGCCTTGGTTACTGAATCTGTGTTTGCGTGCCCGAGATTCTCATTTAATAATATCTATGAAATTGGTAGGCCAAGAATTGAATTAATACCTTAACCTTTAATACTTCACTTTTGGTTTAATGAAAATGCAATGGTGTTTAACTTCTGAATGTAACAGCATCACATAACCTTGTCTACACCTACGCATTTTTATAGCAGTCTTATTGCTGATATAGCAAAGGGTGTCAGTGCAGCCAGGGTAAACACCCGTCCAGATGGTGCAGGGTTGGAAACGTGGCACCGCAGACCCTTTGGCAGGTTAAAAAGTGTTCAGCTTCAGTTTTATTAACACTGAGTTGTCAATATTATTTTGCTCCTCAGACAATGATTGCTGATATTATGTTGTTTACTGTATAAGCAACTTATTACAGGAGCCATCACACAGTCTTTGATAAATGTTGGCTATTAATAATGATATTGGGTCAATCACACAAAAAGTAACAGTGTTTTCTGTTCTATCTAGTGCAAGACATATGCATGTGTGCTAGAAAGTCACCTCATGGGACTCACGATTGACTTTAGCACAGGATTTATCTGCTTTGATGCTGCAACAAAGGTAATGTGAAAGTCAGCTCCAAGAAATGTGCTGCGGGCATTGTAATTTAAGAATGACTGAAATAACTTCTAACTCCTGTCAGTATTTTCATTGATGATCACGTATCATATTCTAGATCCTCATTTTTGTTAATAGAAGATAAATCATGCTTTATTCTGATGATAGAGAAACAAGTTTGAATTTAATAAGACAAACACATTTACATAAAACATTATAACTATATAAAGTGAATATATATGTATGACATATATACATTCTATTTTATAATATATATTATATACATTATTCTCACTAAAGATATAGCCTTTGAGGGGAAATTTTTCCCCCAAACACAATATTTTTAAACAAGTGTTTCTTTACTAGTGTTTTGCATCAACATCTCCAATATCCAAATGGGGAAAACCTTTTTGTTTTTTAGTGTATTAGTTTATCAGTATTGGTAATATGTTAGAATCGTAGTGTGGGGAGGGATTGTGGGGTTTAGAGTTTCTAGCCAGGGAGTAAATGGTAGTCATCCTTACTTGACTTAGTAAGGTCTTGTATTGTCTAATTGGGTGCCTTTTCCACAAAGGATCTTTCTCTGAGAGTGATGCATATTAAATGATGAAAGGCATCCTCACAGTTAGTCATATCAATCAAACCTTAAAACACAATGGACCCCTTACCCACTGCTAATCTTGTCCCAGTGCTAGAGTTACTGCTGCAGTTTCTGACTTGGGGCTCTGGTCCCCATGGAGGACAACTTTTCCCTCTCATTATACATCAGTTCCTAAGGTCCACTCCACTTTCTCCTTTATCAGAGTATGGCCTAAGAAATAAACCAATATATTCCTTACCACTAATTTTAAGGCTTCATGAGTAACCCATTCCTGGGAAACTTATATTTCACCTTAAAATAAATGGTTGTACAGAATTTCAATTTAAAAAATGGAAATACAACAAAATAGTGATATAAATGTGTAAGGAAGGCAACATATGGAAAGTGGGAGGGTTTGAACCTTGGGGAAGATGGGAGTCCATACCGCAGTCCCACAGCCCAAGCCGAGTATGATGCAGGGGGGTATATGGAGCTCTTAGGATTTTCCACCATCCCGCAATGTAGATTGTCACACAAGAGCTCACATTATTAAAGGACGGCCAAATTTTTTTTTTTTTTTTTGACAGAGTGAAAATAGGTGGTACACATAGCTGGTCTGATTTCACTGTCCGTGCATTGCCTTTGTCTAATGCCAAAAGAATTCTTCTCTAAATATGGAACTTTCAGTTTCATGGCTCTTTTGATGGCTCTCAGATAAGACTGCCATAAGCTTTTCCTGTGACTAAAGATTTTCTTTGGAATAAAATATTCAACTCAGGGTAGGCTCATGATATTACATTAATTTAACACATTTATCAATTTAAATATTCTTCAATTTCATAAGTATTAAACTAAAGTAATAAATAAGTTTAAAAATGATTAGGGTGGTAGAAAAAAAGCTCAAGTGTGATTTTTAAATTTTTTTAATGTTTTATTTATTTCTGAGAGAGAGAGAGAGACAGCGTGAGAAGGGGAGAGTCAGAGAGACAGGGAGATACAGAATCTGAAACAGTCTCCAGGCTCTGAGCTAGCTGTTAGCACGGAGCCAAACATGGGGCTCGAACCCATGAACGGTGAGATCATGACCTGAGCCGAAGTCGGACGCTCAACCAACTGAGCCATCCAGGCACCCCTGAAGTGTGATTTAACAAAGAAAATATTATAGCTACAATTGTCCCCAAACTCTCATTATGAACATGAAAGAGTCTCCTACCTGGTAAATGAGAAAGACGGAAATCAAATTCATCTGAATACAGACCTGAAAGCCTGAATCTGTTTCAAGTTTTCTTTAAGGCGAGTATAATCCAAATCCACTTCAGAGTCCACCAAGGGTCTCTTGGTGTGGTAAGGGAGAAAATCAAGATGTGGACGTTCTTTATGACATGTCGAGGTATTCCCTTCTGGGAAGGAATGAGGAGTTAGGAGACCCTAAGCAAATTGTCCTGATGCCATCTGCGCACACCATCCAGGAAGAATGAGATTTTAGTCAGTACAAGCTTGATGCAGGAAAAACTAAAGGCTTTTGGGAGTAGTAATCACCTTTTTTCCATTTTCTGACTGTACTGGAAGTTCTTAACTTCAAGCCGATCTGAGAATTGGGAGGGAAGGAAAGAGTCTGTCTGCTAATAATGAAGAGAGTATTCATTGCTGAAACTGTGACACTTGCACAGCAATAGGGAGCTATTAATAATTATGTCAGGACAGCAAGCATAAGCCAGGAGAGTCTTGGGCAAACCACTGGGCTGGTCTTAACTGCAGGAAGGTCTTACTCACTTTGTGGAATGAGCCCCAAAGTTATTTTTAAATACAAAAAGAAAAAAAAGTAATTTTTATATCTTCATTAAAATATGTTTGTTCCAATATTTTATTAAAATAATTAAATGATAGTAAAACATTTTCTCTACTTGATATGAATGTGGAAAGAATCCTTAAGAATATATGTACAGAAGATTTTTTAAATGTTTGGGCTCGAGAAGGGCCACGGCAACAATACTACTGATACCCTTTAGTTGCTCACATTTTGTCTGTCTGCACTGCTTCTTGCTCAGGGCCTCCAGCCCCGAAGTGACTGTGGAAGCAAACCAAAGGTCTTATGTAAAGCACAGATCCCAGGAAAGAGGAGGTTGGCGTTCTAAGTGGTTAATTGAGCTCCTTGTAAAGCAAGTCCTGCACTGTTAGTACAGGGGCAAAGGGGAGAATTGCTGCATATATATATATATATATATATATATATATATACATATACATATATATATATGTATATGTATATATATATGAACAATTCTTATATGCAACCATATTTATCATTTCTTACAAGATAATTTTTTAAAAATAAAATAAACAACTTTGAAAAAATTAGTAGAAGACTAGATCAGAGACTCTCGTGTTAAGAGAAGAGTCACTGTGACCTCAGTCTACAGTAGACTACTACAGGTTTGGAAGCAGTGAAGTCTAGGAATTTCAAGCTTATCATTATTTGTCCCTCGTGCATGAAGGTCTCCAGGGAAAATCATTTCCCTGAGTTTTCCAGACAGTACAAAACACACTAAAGAGTATTGCATTTCCCACACTTCGGTTTACCTTGGCAACATGATAGGAGGTTATACATTCCTTTGTTTCCCTTAGTGTTGCTGGGGAAATTCCCTCATAGAAATGTGTGGCCATATAACACCTAGGTTGTTCTTAGTAATCTTCATTCTGATTAAAATGTAGCCTTTTCAGTGTTAGAAAAGGTTTTCTCACTAATGTGTCAAAGTATGAGAGTGCAGTACTAATATGATTCCCATAGCTAAGAGTATAGATTTGTTGCCATTACATCCCTTTAAACTTGCACATAAGCATTAATGAATTATATGTATTAATTAACTTCCTAAATTAACAGAGCCCTCAGCAGTAACATTAAGTAAGTAGTTAACTGGATACTTGCTGTCTATTGAAAGATACAAGAGGATCAGTCTTGGGTGCTCTAGGAAAGCTTCCTAGAAATGAAGACACCAAGGGTCAAATCATCCAGACAAACCTGCAAGGAAGAACGTTGAACGTGAGGTCAGAGAAGATGAGAGATCAAGTTTGTGGGTAGCCAAGAGCCAGATGATGAAAGGCATCCTAGTAAAGAATTTACATCTGATTGTAAGAAGAACCTTTGAAGGGTTTGAGACACAGAAAGCAAATGATTAGAAGTGTGTTTGGCAGCAGAAACCCAGTAGAACAGTGCATAACTGAGATGGAGAAAACGTGGGCAAACCCTGGATTCCAAATTCTCATGATCGGTCCTCCTCTGGGCTTCCATCCCCCACCCCCACCCCCCGCCCATGACATTCCAGAGAAAACGGCATACATGGTTAACAAGGGCAAATACACTATTACAAGTTAGGGTGAAAATGATCAGTGTATGAACAGAAGTAAGAGGTATTCAACTTCATGAAAGATAATTACAAGGAAGGAAATGGAGAAAATGGTGGGGGTGAAAAACTGGGTCCCCTGATGATGGTCTAATACATGTTTCACCCAATGTGATTATAACTACAGAAAGGTCATTTTAGCCAAGGTATCCAGATTGCATTGATTGGATGGAGGCAAGACTGAATGAATGGACATTAATGGAATTAATTTTTGTTTCCCTTTGATAATTTAGAACAACTTTCTTTTTTAAATTTTTTAATGTTTTGTTTCTGAGAGAGAGAGAGAGAGAGAGACAGTATAAGCAGGGGAGGGTCAGAGAGAGAGGGAGACACAGAATCTGAAACAGGCTCCAGGCTCTGAGCTAGCTGTCAACACAGAGCCTGATGCAGGGCTCGAACCCATGAACCATGAGATTATGACCTGAGCCAAAGTTGGATGCTTAACCAACTGAGCCACCCAGGCACCCCTAGAAGAACAACTTTCAAACTTTTCTTTTTAACTATGAAAATTTGTAAGCAAAAGAATGAAGGAGGGTTCTTTTTATCTGTGTCAGATGACACCTGAACTCTAATGGTTAAAATGAAGATGAAAGCATCGGATTCCACACCTCAGCCCTCCCACCCCCACCCCTTATTCTGCAGCCCAGGGTATAACTCAACCTCAAAGCCTCCATGGGCTATAATTGGAGTTCATCCCATGTAAATGCCCATTGCAATTCATGAGACCCTGTAAATCCTGACTCTTATACCTGGGGAAAAGTAAAAGACAATTATTACTCATATTACTGTTTTCCTGACAGTCTTTTGGTTCCCTCAAATTGCTATTGTCTGATAGTTTTTTTTTTAATGTTTTAATGGTTGAATTAGAGAAATTTTAGGATAACATACTTAAAAGCCTTCTCTAACAAAGGTTGTTTATTAGCGTATTAAAAACATTTTTGGAATAATGATTCACTAACAGATCTATGCAGATGATAAATTATGAAATAAAAAGGTAACATTTTAAAGAATTGACTATCATA